GAGGACCACTTCCCTAGGAAGTTGGTTCCAGATCCTAGCCACCCTAACAGTGAAATAGTGCCTTCTAATCAGTAACCTGAACCTATTCTCCAGCAGCTTCTGGCTATTGTTCCTCATCACCCTAGGTCCTGCTGGGGGGAATAGGGCCCTTCCTATTTGCTGCTGAGCTCCCCTAACGAGTTTACAGGCAGCCACCAAATCCCCCCTCAGCCTCCGCTGACTGAGCCTGAACAGGTTCAGGTCCCTCAGCCTCTCCTCATAGGGCCTGCCCTTTTGCCCTCCAACCAAGTGGGTGGCTCTCTGAACCCTCTCAAGGCAGACCACATCCTTCTTAAAGTGCAGTGCCCAGAACTGGATACAGTACTCCAATTGTGGTCTGACCAATGTCACATAGAGGGGGAGTATCACCTCTCTGGACTGGCTTGAGATGCATCTTTGGATGCACGACAAGGTGCAGTTGGCTTTGCTGGGTGCGGTCTGGCATTGGCAGCTCATGCTCATTTTGGAGTCAGTAATGACTCCAAGATCCCTTTCCACCTCTGTGCTCACAAGAGGAAAGCTCCCAAGCTTGTATGTATGCTGTGGATTCCTTCTCCCCAGGTGCAGCACCCTGCATTTATCTGAATTGAACCCCATCCTATTACCATCCGCCCACTTCTGTAGTCTGTCTAAATCTAATTGCAGCCTCTCTCTCCCTTTGAGCGTCCCTGCTTCTCACCACATCTTGGTGTCATCGGCAAACTTGGACAACGTGTTTTCCACCCCCTTGTCCAAGTCGCTGATGAAGATGTTAAACAGTGTGGGCCCCAGGACCGAGCCCTGGGGGACCCCACTATGCACATCCCACCAGGTCGAGTATGACCCATCCACCACCACTCTCCAATTTCATTTTACGTGTAGATGCATACCATGTGTGCATATAGACTATGTATGCTTAATCACCTGCACACTAACTGGTAGGTGTATGGCTATGTACATACCCCACTTATGGATTCATATGTGCATCACAAAAAAAGAAGCCAGCCAGAAACCCATGAGTAACAGGTGAAGTAAGTAGGTCCTCTAAAGTTTTAGTCCTAGTAACTGAGTAGTTAGAACATTTGCCCAGTAAGTGAGAGAGAGGTGAGTCCTCCTTACCCAGATAGAGCTAAGCCTGTGTTGCTAATTTCCCAGCATAATACACTAACTACTGTGCCACAGTAGTTAGACAGATTCAAGTCACAGGTTAGACATGATTCAAGCCACTCTCAATTGCTCTTTTTGAACTGGCCCTCTGGGCAGACAAAAGATCGGAATATGGGGCTAGGAGTACATGGCTTCATGAGATGGCTCCTAAGCTGGCAAGGAGTAAGCCTGGGAAAGGACTGGATAATGCCAAACCTGTGGTGTGGTAGAGCACAGTATTGGGAAATGAAAAAGATGCAAGTTCAAATACCCTCTGGGTGACTGGAAACCTATAACATGTGTTGCTTGCTTCCTGGGCAAGCGTCCTAAGCAGTCAGACATTTGGAATAAAATAAGGTATGGTCTTCCTTCCATGCTTTTTCCTAGACTTATGCACATGCATGTGCCTGGCCAGCGTGTAGCTGACTAGGCATGCTCCATTTGCACATGGCAGAGACAAGACTAAAACAGGCTTGGTATGTGGCCAGAAAACTGTCACCTAAGTGCAAAAAAGGATAGAAAATTCTGCCGTTACTGTTCACTTAGTTCTTGTAGCATAAGCTGATTGTTTTGCATGGAGTTGGTACTATCTGCTTTTGTCTGCCTACCACACTCCAGCAGAATGACTAGGTGACGCAGCATGTTAGAATCATAGAAAATCTCCTACATAAATTAAAATTGAAAATCTTGAGACTATTTACCTTTGACAGAAGAAAAATAGCTGTGATGACACTTATAACAATGGATGGCCTTGAGAAGGTAAACTAGCAACCTCTCTTTTCCTTGCCTCATATCCCAAGAAAAAAAAGAGGAGACAAAACTGGTAAAAGAAATATATTTTCACAGAACATGTAATTAGGCAGAGACATGAGCAGAGGAAACTATTGAGACAAAGAGCTTAAGATGACTCAAAAGAGATTAGACATTTTCAAGGATGGCAAAAACATGCAGAGTTAAAATAGTTAATGATAATGAGACTCTTAGACACGATATTAAACTTCATTCTTTGGGGCTCAAACAAGTGTCTCACTGTTAGAGATCAAGGAAAGACTTCACATGGAGTTAGATTTCTTACAAGTGCCTACAGCAGGGTTCATACACCTACCTCTGAAGGATCTGGGACTGGCCACTCAAGAAAGCAGGCTACTGGAGTAAACTTATCCAAATTTGATCCAATATAGCAATTCCTACTCCTGTATATCTGCACTGCTTCAACAGAAGCATATTGTCGCAGGGCACCTCAGTGCCTGCTCCTAGGGAGTAGAAACTGCCAGGGAGAGAGCGAGCCCTGGCAGAACATAATGAGCACAGCTGCAGGTTGCCGGGGCAACTAAGGAGAGCCAGCTGCCTGTAGGAGGCAGGGCCTGGCCCTTATAAAGCCCAGGGCTGAGGCCAGGCTGGTGGTTCCCTGCCAGCAGCTGGAGTGAGCAATGCAGGAACTGCTCTAGCTGAGAGAAGGATGGCAGCTCTGAGAGGCTTGAGCACCATGGTTTAGCCAGGAGGCTTGAGTTTATGTTTGGCTTTGATATTAGACCGGTGATTTGGGCGAGGCTGTAAGGGTTGGAGGAGGCCTCATAGGGACCCCAGAAGGGTGGGGCCCCAGCGCCTGTGTGAGGGCACAGTACTTTAAGGGGGAACCCCAGTGGTATGGGAACGCTGGTGCCGGTGAAGGTGCAGCACCAGGAAGGCGCAGCTGGTGGTGAGGAGTGCAACCAGTGGGTTGCAGGCGGGGAACGTAGACCCCGGGTTGTGTGCGGGGTATGTAGACCCCAGCCCCAGAGAGGGGCAGCTGTGAGAAGCCCCAGCGAGGGCATGACGAGCCCCAGAGGGGGGGCAATATTACTAGGAAGCCCAGTGCGGGTATGGTGAGCCTCTGTAGAAGGGCTAGTGCTGTGACAAACCCCGAAGCAGGGTAGAGTGTTGCGGTTGCCCCCGGCAAGAGGGGGTAGTGGCACGGTGGGCCCTGGGAGAAGGGGGCAGCAACGCGGTGGGCCCGAGAATCAGGGGGCATTACCGAGATGTCCCCAGAGTGGGCACAGTGAGCCCCAGAGAGGGGGCAATACTATTGAGAAGCCCAGCGCGGGCATGTAAGGTCCCAGAGAAGGGGGACTATTGAGAAGCCCGAGACGGGCGTAGCGAGCCCGGTCATAGGCTAGTACGGCAATAGAACTCAGGCAGAGGCAAGGTGCTGCAGTCGTCCCTGAGGAGAGGGGATAGCAGTGCGGTGAGCCTGGATCAGAGAGGGTAGCTGTGCGGTTGGCCTAAAGGACCGGAGACCCGCTAGAGGGTCCCTGAGCTGGGACAACACTTTTAGAGAAGGCCCAGAGTGGGCTCGACGAGAGTTCCAGTGAGGGCCTGTGTATTAGAGAGAGCCCAGGAGTGGGCTAGACTACAGGGGAGGCCCAGGAGTGGGCTAGATTACAGAGGAGGCCCGGGAGAACGGGTGTGTATCATGACAGACCAACGTCCAGCACATCAGCGAGGCTTGGGGTGTGGTATTAGGGGTTGGTAGGAGCCACGTGTAGCCCATAAGGCTAGGGTGCCTGGGGAGCACCCATCATACCGGGAGACCCCCAGGGGGTTCAGGAATACACGGGGACCGAGGTCCCAGCTAACCGTGCCCAGGGAGTTGTAGGCAGCCTCCTGAACTTACTGAACATCAAAGACGTGGCGGGCGAGAATTTGAGGGTGCCCTTGGGCTGACTTGGCACGGTGAGAGGGACCTCAGGGAGATCACGGCCCTCCTGGCGGACCCCGCTGTGACACATATGTTTACATTATTGTTATTATTTATATTATATAGACTCTTACAATTCCCTGCCCCAGTAGAGCTAAGTATGGGGAAAGTATATGAAAAAGCAGTCCATACCTTGTAGATCTTACATTTTGATAATGGAACAGGCAAGTGAAACAAATAAACCAGGAGAAGGTCAATGAGGAAGGACAAGGGAACCAAAATCACCATCCCAAATCCTGTAGGCTATCTTCACCAGTCTGGGCCCATGGCTCAGTTTTGAATAGCTACAAAACACACATCAACTGCCCAGAGGTCCCAAGGATCCATTATGGCAGCCAAGAATTACTGGGGTGCAGGAGCAACCTGGATTATGAGTGGAACTTCTTGTAACATCTCTGCTTGCCACTCAAATTTTCCAAAGTATGGCATATCCAACAAGGAACCAAGAAAAAACAAAAGATTTAGGACTGCTTTGAGCTGCCAGAGTAGTGCAAAGTAAGAACCAAGCAAAGATCAAGACAGCAAACAAAAGAGAAACATTTATTGCCCTATTGTATTTGCAATGTTTCTTGCACTTAGCATAAGTACCATAGACCACTGACAGATGTTCACTTTAAGACATGATAGGATCTTACATCTGATCCCATCACTGCACATAACACTCATCTGGGCAGCATGTACTGTTTTATAGCTTCCGGTTTACAGGGACCCCAGCATCTGACTGAATAAATCCCCTTTGGCAGCCACCTGGCTGGCACATGGATTTTTTACTCATCCCCAGGCATGGAGACTCTGGGATCTGGCTGCAGCAACCTGATCTCCTAGTCCCCCTGTGTCTGGAATTACAAAACCATGTGTTAGCAACACATGGGGCTTTGACAGGTTCCAGTGCATGGGTCACCAAAAGATGTTCAATTTAAAGTGCAATACAAATGAGCCACAAAGTTATTCCAGACTGCATGTATTATCACAGACTGCTGTATTATCACACCTCAGATTGACTTCCACATGTGTCCAGGTTACTATAAGGCATGATTAACCTGTTAATCTCATCTTAAATTTGTATGTGCCAGAGGCTATAGCATGGCAAATACAGGCAACCCTCGCCATTTATGGGGGATATAGTCTGGAGATCCCATGAATGGTGAAATCCGCAAATACGGCACTGCATTCATTAACATCATCTGCGTTCATGAACACAGTGTCCCCGGCAGCTAGCAGCGGGGTGGGGGGGCACAGCTGCACTGGCAATGGCAGGAGCCTGGCAGCAGCAAGTGTGGAGCTCCCGAGTAGCTCCTGGAAGTGTATTTAAGATGTGGGTTTGGCATTCGCAAATATTTGAAACCGCGAATGCTGAACCCATGAATAGTGAGGGTTTCCTGTACTGCTCTTTAATAGCCTTATTCTTCCCACACCCCCAGCCCACCAATGGTAGTAACAGAGCTACAACCCTGTTCATCTCCTCCTTATTCCTTTTGTTGGAAATGCTGTTGATTTTCACACCCTTGGAATTAATGCTACTAGCAAAGAGCATCTGGGTTTTAAATCAACATACTTGATTCTCTGTTGCTTTAGTAGGAAAGAATTCACTGACCTGACTGGGATGAGAGATTCGAATTTTCTATCAGACACATTCTTTGGAAGAGCAGAGTTCTTCGATTAAATCAATTAAATCAGAGGCTTCAAATGCAATCTTTCATGAGTAATTCATTTACAACTAAAATATCAAAATGTAGGGGAATAGAAGAAATGATTTATGCAGGGAACCTGAGTGTCTGGAATGGCAAAATAAATATTCCAGTGGATCATGCATTTTGTTATTTACTGAAGTGCAGGTGGCCAGAAGCTGTATATCAAGGTTGAAAACAGCATTAAAAAGGCACATTGTTCTTTCTATTTCTATAATCCCAGCTGAGATTGTCAATGCTGCATTTCCTCTTTAGCTTGATACCTTCTTTGCAAAAGTCTGAGTGAGCAATGTGTGAGGCTATGGTCCCCTTTGCTCAAAGATAATTAAAGAGAAGCCAATTGGGCCGTTTGACATTTTCCCCTTCCTACAGCACTCTAAAATGGCAATACATCCTAATTTACATATCTTCCCTACCTGTGCTAAGTGTCTACCTTTTATGAGATGGCTCCTTGGGGAGCTAGCAGATTGGACTGAAGCCACTAGCTGTAGATATTCAGCATCTTCCAGAACCAAAACCTAAAGCAGTATCAAAGCACAGACACTATGCAGGTATCTTGAGTTAAAAAATCAAAATGGCTTCCTCTTTATTCCCAGTTCCAGGTATCTGAATCTCCTAGAAAGACTGACAAGAAATACAGATGAGCTAAGGTATATACATAGGTACATAGGTAAAACAACCAATGGGATCATATCCTAATTTGAATTTGTGAACAACATGTCTCACTCCCACTTTCAATCAAACAACTGCTGGAAGGGGTTTTCAGCTCCACATACAGAAAGGGAGCAAGCGATCAAGGGCTCTCTCTAAAGAAGCAGTAGCGGGGTATAGCCAGTAGCATGGGAAGGGGGACAAAGGGAAAACAGACTATGGAGAAACTTCAGCTCTCAGGGCACGTCCAGATGAGCACACATGTGACTCTTGCACCATCTCAAAGCCCTTAGAGACACTGCAAGAGGCATGTGTGGAAGCAAAAAAATATTCCCGTTGCTGCAAATTTGCAGCACTGGGGCAAATTTAGATCCCTGGATATCCAGAGTTGAAAAAACACCCCAGGCAAAAAAAGCAGGGCAGGCAAACAGAGGCTCGGGTCCTCTACAGAGATGCTCTGGTAGCCAGCCAGAGCATCTCTATGGTTGGCCCTCAACCCAGTGCTAAAGCACGCTGTCTGCCCATGCAGGGCAGGCAGCATGCCAGCCACAGGGAGCTAGACCCAGGCTCCATGCCAGTAAGTAAGGGGGGGAAGGGACCAGGGGGGAGAACCTCCCTGGCCCCATCTCCCGCCTGCTCCCTGAGCCCCTCGCATTGCTTCCCCATCTGGCCCCATCCCCTGCTGACTCCCTGAGCCCCCCATCACTGCCCAGCCCCAGCATCCTGGCAAATAAAAAAAACAAAAAACCCTGCACTCACTGGCAGTATCAGCAGCCATTGGGGTCACTGGGGCCTCCTGGCAGAGCTCCCCACATAGCACAGGGCAGCAGGGACTAACCTTGGACACCTAGCACCCTCACTGCCACTGCCCCGTTGCGCGGTACGGTCAGAGTCAGCAGGGTGCCACACGGCTCTGTGCACTGTCAGGCAGCTGGAGCCACTTGGGCTGAGTGGTGCTAGGCCCTGGGTGACAGCTGCAGCAGCCCCAGAAGACTGATAGTGCACGGAGCTGTGCAGCACCCTGCTGACCCAGATCACAACCATCGGGGGGGTATTGAGGTGCAAGTGGTGGATGGGGCCAGGTGAGGCAGCCATCGGGCAGTCTGGGAGTTAAAGCAGGGGGTGGGGCAGCCATCAGGGGCCTGGGGGTGCAAGAAGGGGACGGA